TTTGATTTGCATCTCTCTTAGAGCTAGGGACTTTGAACATTTCTTCATGTGCTTGTTGGCCATCTGAATTTCTTTGGTGAAGTGTAGGTTGGTTTTTTGAAGTGAGTGAGTGTTGAATTGCCCCTCCTGCCTGTTCGGTCACTGCCCCACAGCACTGGGTGCTGGGCCTCTCCCCATCCAGCTGTCCCATCTCCCTCTGCTCCCCAAGGGTCAGTCAGTCTCCTGTGCAGACAGCTACCTTGTGGACCTCTGGATGCCCCTGCAACTCTGGCTCGGAGAACTGGGGGGCAGTCAGGTTTTCATCTCATTGATCTCAGATTCTGCCGAGTGTTCATTCTAAACAGCAAACCAGCCCCTCCTTTTCAGATTGTCACAGCGCTGGCCATCGCGGGCACCCTCAAGTTCAACCCAGAGACGGACTTCCTGACAGGCAAGGATGGCAAGAAGTTCAAGCTGGAGGCCCCGGATGCAGACGAACTTCCCCGTGCGGTAAGCAGGCGCTGCCGCCCTCTGCTGGGAACCTTTGGGGCTGTCTGATGCTGCCCACTGTGACCAACTTGTCCCCTGGGCAGGAGGCAGGGTCCTCTCTGGAGGACATGACAATTCTGTCCACCTGGGAGGAAAAAGCTCAGGGCACTGGGGACCTGGACTGTCCACATGGGGGCTGAGGACCAAGGCTCATTATCCTTGCTGCAGGAGTTTGACCCTGGGCAGGACACCTACCAGCACCCTCCCAAGGACAGCAGTGGACAGCGGGTGGACGTGAGCCCGACCAGCCAGCGTCTGCAGCTCTTGGAACCTTTCGACAAGTGGGACGGCAAAGACCTGGAGGACCTGCAGATCCTCATCAAGGTCAGCAGGGGGGCAGTGAGCCTGGGGGACAGTGACCCTGCTGGCTTCTCCTGGAGGAAGCGGAAGAGTTAGGTGGACACAGGCATCAAGGCTTGGGTGCAGAAGATAGGGAAGTCCAGCCCAGTGCTCCAGACCTTTCTTCACGGCCCCTATCCCAAAGAGCCTGCCCCATCGCAGAGGGGCCTGCCCAACTCCAGAGAGTGCACTCCATCCCAGAGGGTACACTTCATCCCAGAGGGCCTGCCCCATCCTAGATGGTGCTCCCCATCCCAGAGGGCCTGCCCCACCCCAGAGGGTACACTTCATCCCAGAGGGCCTGCCCCATCCCAGAGGGTACACTTCATCCCAGAGGGCCTGCCCCATCCCAGAGGGTACACTTCATCCCAGAGTTGTCTCCACGCAGCCTGGAAAGGATGGGTGAACCTTTTCTTCACCCCACCAGACCTGGGCCCTGGGGCCTGCTGCCTGCCTCCACAGAGCTTCTGTCCCCTCATTCACCACTCAAGGCCAAGTCCTGACCACTGTCCTCTGTGCTCCTTCAAGGTCAAAGGGAAATGCACCACTGACCACATCTCAGCAGCTGGCCCGTGGCTCAAGTTCCGTGGGCACCTGGACAACATCTCCAACAACCTGCTCATTGGTGCCATCAACATTGAAAATGGCAAGGCCAACTCCGTGCGCAATGCTGTCACCCAGGAATTTGGCCCTGTCCCTGACACTGCCCGCTACTACAAGGTGGGTGAGAGGTGGGAGTGTCAGTGCTGGGCGGCCATTTCTGGGTCCAGAGGGCAGGACCAGGGCGGACATCAACGTGGTGGTTAGGGGGCTTCAGTCTCACCTCAGCTGACCTCCAGGCCTCATTGACCAGGGAGTCTCTGAAGCCCAGCTCAAGTTAGGGACACGGTCTCTTCTTCCTGCTAAACCTCAAAAAGGCAGGCCCTGCTCAAGGGGCCTGCTCCTGGGAGGCATTTAGCCTCAGACCTGAGAAGAGGGCTGCCAGAGACCCTGTAGGAGAGGGGAGAATGGGCAGATTGACTTCATCCACTTGGGCCTCATAGCAAGCATGGAGGGGCCAGGGAGGGGGTCTGCTGAGTATCAGAGTAGGAGACAGCCAGGCAGAAGGGGCAGGGTTGGGACAGTGGGAGACTGAGGCCTAGGCCAGGACACTTTCTGAAAAGCTAAGAGAACTAGGGCTGAATCCAAGACCCAATCCCAAGGACATTTGGACCCCTTCAAGTGGCTCTCGGCAGAGGGCACTGCCCACCCTGAGGCCCACCTGGAAGTCTTCGAGTTGATGGGGTGTACCATGTCCTCGCTTTGCTCGGATGTCCCATGTGAAATGCATTGGGGCCCCTGCCCCCCAGTACTCCATACTTGCCCTGCGGTCACACCCCACCACCACCTGCTCTTGGAGAGCAACTGAGGAGACAATCTCCAGGCCCCTCGGCCTTGGGCACCTCTTGTCTTCTAACTCCATCCGTGGCTCTGCAGAAACACGGCATCAGGTGGGTGGTCATTGGAGACGAGAACTACGGTGAGGGTTCGAGCCGGGAGCACGCGGCCCTGGAGCCACGCCACCTGGGAGGCCGCGCCATCATCACCAAGAGCTTCGCCAGGATCCACGGTGAGCCGGCCCCCGTGCTCGTGTTTACGGGAGGGGGTCCTGGAGACCACCACTTCCCACCCTACAAGTGACCTGCAGGCCTGAGCACCTGGACCCCGGAAGCCTGGTCTGGCTAACTGCCCCATGACAGACACATCACTAGTGTCATCACTGGAAGATAGTAGGTGTAGGCCTCCCAGAGCCCTCACTGTCCGGGCAGGAAGCCCTCTGGCCAGGGGCGAGGGTCCCCACTCAGTATGCCCTCTGCCTTCCAGAAACCAACCTGAAGAAGCAGGGCCTGCTGCCCCTCACCTTCGCCGACCCAGCTGACTACAACAAGATCCACCCCGTGGACAAGCTGACCATCCAGGGCCTGAAGGACTTTGCCCCTGGCAAGGTAAGCAGGGAAGAGGCTGAAAGGTGGGCAGGACGGGGCTTGTCCCACCCTGGGCCCTTCTAAAAGCAGGCAGGAGGAGGCTGCCACTCTACCCTCCTGCCTCACCCCCCTTTACAACAACTGGGAGGGCCCTGGAGGCTGTGAGGCAACCCCACCACCTGCCCAGAGAAAGCGTCAGTCCCCAGGGCTAACAGCTCACCCTGTGGGTCCCAGGTTTCCCCCTGGGTGCGCCCAGTCCCCTGCAGACCCACCCACACCTGCCTCCCTGCCTCTAGCCCCTCAAGTGTGTCATCAAGCACCCCAACGGGACCCAGGAGACCATTCTCTTGAACCACACCTTCAACGAGACCCAGATCGAGTGGTTCCGGGCTGGCAGCGCACTCAACCGGATGAAGGAGCTGCAGCACTGAGGCCGGCCTGCGCTTTGCCCCTGCCTACCGTCCACCTGCCACGGGGACCGGCCGCTCAGAGTCCTCTGTGAGCGCAGTCCACGCATTTCATCAGAACTGGGCCTGAGCTGGGCCAGTCACAACGCCCTGCTCCAGGCAGCGTGGCCAGACACTCCTGCCTGCCCCTCCTCAGCCCCCCCGTGACCATGGGTTTCTCAGGTGTCCTCGTTGGTCCCAATCATGAGCAGTTATTTATTTTTGATGATGAGACGCCCATCTATAAAGAAGTTTTAACTCCTGCCTGATCTGTTCCCTGGTGGCTGAGGATTTCAAAGAACCTTTTGTTCTTGCAAAGAAACATGTATCATTTGATGGCCCCTGCTGTGTGCCTGGTCTGTACTGTTCTTGGGGGGGGGGGGCGCACTGGGCAGGGGTCTTCTCGGCCAGGGGCGGTGTGGATGTGGCATGAAGGAGATGCCGCAGTGAAGGCTCCCTCAAACCCCATCACCCCCTTCCTCCCTGCCTCCCAGAGGGCAGCCCCCTTCCCACCTGGGCTTCCTGTCCTTCCCTGGCTGGGAAGAGTCCAGTGGACAGACTCTTGGAGAAGGAGGGCCTTCGCCCTCGGCAGGTAATCACAGCCCAGCTCCTGCTCCAGGGCACCTCCCTCCATACCAGATACCATCCCACATGGCCCCCTGAAAATGAGGGGAGACACAGCCAGGCCCTGAAGGGTCTGCCCAGGGTCACAGCTCACTGATGCAGCTGCCCCTGCCCCTGCTGCCTGAGCAGGGCACAAAACACTGCTCCAAAGTGCCTCCTGCCCAGGTGTCCCCACTGCCCCCAACCCAGCACCACCACCACACACTGCTGTCTGCGGTGGCCAAGAAGGCCGGCTGCACTGGAGATGCCAAGAAACAGCCTCCCACCACATGGGCATCCGGCAGACCCACAGGCACCCCTGGTAGGAGCTGAAGGTGACAGCTGAACCTCCAGTGTGGTGAGAGACAGAACAGATGTGGTCATTGCTCCTTCCCAAAGCCTCCGTGTTCTTGATGTTTGGTCAAGGTCAAGGGCTCCCCTCACTCTGCCTCTAAATGCTGTGGGGCATCCTGTGTCCTAGAGGTCAAAGAGCATTGCATCCCGTGTCATCCTGTGACTTGAGGTAAGCGCTGGGCTGAGTGGGCCAGAGCTCACCCCCAAGCCCTCCTGCCTTTCTTTCAGGACAGGGTTATATACACAGCAGCAATTTATGTCCCAGTTAAAGAACTCAAGGACCTCAGATGACAGATGACAGCCCATCAGCAGAGAAAAGGGTGAGCCTTCTCCAGTGATAGGGCCACTTTATTTAAATTGTTGTTTGAGTTTCTTCCACAATCCCATTGTCTCTGAAGGTCAAAGTCCATGGGTTCACAGCTCTGGGGCCCCGGAAGAATGGGCAGGAGGTGGGGCCCAAGCTCCATCAGCCCCTCCTGACATGGGGGGGGGTCCTCAGCGAGTGTGTCTCAGCTGTTGTGGTCTCCATCCTGTACCGCCTCCTGAGGGCCAGGTGGGTCCACCCAGCAGGCAAGGTCCAAGTTCTAGCACAGGACTAGTTGCTGGTCCACCAAGATAGAAGGCCCAGGCCTGGCTCACTGATGGACCCCTGCCAGAGAGGACAGACATGTCACCGACAGGCAGGGAAGGGCCATCATAGGGAGGCAGAAGGGTTGCAATGAGCAGAGGGGTGGGTGAGCCCATGGCCACCCCACTGGCCCATTCAGAGCACACAATCCACTTGCCTCTTACCCAGACTTCTACAGAGACCACAGGAGTATGGCTTTATCGGGGCTGGGGGTTGGATGCCCTTGGTGCCAACAGGCCAGTCTCCGCTAGACCCACCCAAGCCATCACACACGAACACGGGATATCCAGTCACCCTGGTTTCTGACAAAGACTATGACCTCCCCAGTCACTGCCCAGCTTCTGGAGGGTAAAGAGCACAGCAAACCCCACCAGGTGTGTGGCTGGGGGCTCCCTGCAGCTGGGGCGCAGGTGCAACTCATTCCAACATCCTCCTAGCTGGTCCTCCCCTCAGCCCTTTCCTGCACCCACACGGCTGAGGACCTGAGGCTCACGGGGGTGGGGACCGAAGACCACCCCACCTGACCCCACACGGCTGAGGACCTGAGGCTCAAAGGGGGGTTGGGGGCCGAAGACCACACCCGGGACTGGGTTCTGACCTGTGTGGACGAGGGACTCGGGCCAGAGCCCATGTCCCCGTCCCCGCTGCCCCCCGCCCGGCCACATCAGGACACTCACCGTGAGCGTGTAGGGCTCCTTCCGGGGCTGCTCCTCGCTGGCAGCGGCGGCTCTGCCTGAGCTGGGCCCGGTGGGGGACGTGTCGATGAAGCTCTCGTCCACCACCCGGAAGCGGATCTCCTCGCCCGTGTCCATGTACAGGTCGTGCGCACCTTCCTCCGTCTCGTACTCCCACACCCACACCTGCTCGGCTTCGTCACTGGTGGGGCCCACGGTCAAGGCAATAGCCAAGTTGAGGGGCCACCCTCTGCCATCACGGGGTCCTCCTGGTTCCCTTGGTGCCTGCACCAGCCCCACTGCCCACGAGGTGCCAATCCCCCCTTGTAGGAAGTTACCGGAGAAGCAGACCTTGGCCCCAGCTGCACACGAGCTCTGAGTCCCCTGGTGAGGGTCTAGAGCTCGGGTCAGGCCCCAGCTGGGCACCTCAGCACGGCTCCCCAGGACGGGTGACGACTGTGGGGCCCCTCCACTCCCCAGCCCTGGGGTCTGTCACGTCGCCAGAGTCCCCTCAAAGGCTGACTGCTGCGTGCACCTGCCTACCACCTACCAGCCTCTGTGTGGCTCAGTGTCCCCAGCTGTGAAGGAAGGACTCCAATAAGACCTGCCAGGCAAACACTGACTAGAAACCAAGTCTGTTTCCACACGATCTGGAACAGCAGGCCTCAGACCCCGTCCTGAGCCCAGGTCACCTGCCCACCCCTCAGCCAGCCGCGCTGTGGAGCTGTGCTGCCCCCTGGTGGCTGTCCACTGGCTCGGTCCTGTGGGTCCTGGACAGCTGCAGTCCATGCAGCCTCTCAGCACCAGGCGCTGTGAGAAGATGGCGTGGACCAGAGAGAGCTCAAGGGGGATGTGACCTTGGGAAGGACACAAAGCAGAAAGGGACACGGCCACCAGGGCCCAAAGGCTGGACACAGCACAACCCAGACCACCAAACCTGACCACTCTGACAGAGGGGGTTCCCCGGGGGCAGAGGATGGGCACAGAGGCCAGTGGTACCAGGTCACCCCAAGGAGAGGCCTGAGAGCCCCGTGACCCTGAGCCCTGAGAGGATACAACTTGGCCGGCTGCTGCAGTGACTCCGGGGGAATGAGAATGTCATCGAAGAAGCCGAGAGAGACTGGAAGAAGAAGGGGACACAGGGTGGGCTCGAGATGGACAGTCACACACTGGCAATGGTCACCAGACCTGGATGTGGACACTGCACACCACAGGGGTGCCGAGTCCCCACCACCAGCTTCACACACTTCCAGGGGCCCGAGTTAGGGCCTCACTGGGCACTGAGGTGCTGGCCGAGGGCCTCCTCACAGAGCAGCTGAGAGCTTACGAGGAACAGCTTCTCTGACAGCGTGAGAAGGCTTCCCCGGAGGGGGCCCACCGCCCACCTCACACGTTGGGGTCTCCTTACCGTGCACCCCCTCTGGGCTGCAGCCTTTAATCTTCCCGATCAGGATCTCGTCCAGGAATGGGTGGAACACCACGTAGCGAAAATGGACTGGAGGAAAATGTGGACCACAACTCACAATCACACAGAAAGGCCAGGCTTTCTGGTCTCAGGCTGGTGGAAGCTCCGAGGCCAGTGCCTTAGTCACCCTGATGGCCTCGAACCTGGCAGCTCAGTGGTCAGACACAGGTCGTAAGGTGAACAAGACTCCTCGTGACAGTATCAAGGTGGTCTCTCAGGACAAACCAGCCCATCTCACTGCCGCCGAGTCAGAACCAGCCCATAACTGACCCTCCAAGGGGTTTTTTGCAGGGGCAGCTGATGGCACAGGAGGAGACTGTCCGTGCTTCTCCCATGTGGCAGCTGGTGGGTTAGAACTGTCTGAGACCTTTGTGTTGCCAGTGCAAGTCCTTAACCAGTCGGCCACCAGAACGCCGATCTAAATTTCCTTGGGACAATCCATCCAAATCATTCCATCCATACCCAAAGGGCAGCACTTGCCCAAGGACAAAGCTGAGAAGGCAGGAAGGGTTCCGAAAGGAGGGAAAAATGGTAAACACAGGGACGGAGTGGGCTAGGTGACTTGAGTGTGGGACTGTCATCAATTAAATGTATATAAACTGTTGAATGGAAAACAGAACTGTTCTTCTGTAAATCTTTACCTCATCCACAACAGAAAGGTTTCAAAAAAGCAAAGAAACTGGAAACAAAGAGAATACATAAGTGACAGGGAGGCACTGCGGCATCGCTGCTCGAGGGCCCTGGCAGCGTCCACTCCCAGCCTCCCTGCGGGCCCAGGTCAGTCGGCGGAGCTGCCAGGAGGCCCCTCCATCCCTCGCGGAGGCCACAGCCCTGCTCCGACATGAGGCCGGGTCACAGGACTGTGGGGCTGGGCACGCCTGGACCCAAATCTGGGCCATCTTAACTCCAATCCCAACCTTGCCCCAGGCTCTCCTTTAAATTCCAGGAAGGGCAGAAGCAAGTGGCGAAGGAGCCAGGTTTGGGAGTGAGCGCCCTGTTCCTGGTGCCTGGTCTGCCCCAGGCAGGGCGCTGACCTGGAACAAGCAGCTAAATATGCCCTGAAATAAGGGCGCAGGCAGAGCTGACACCAAGCAGTCACCACGTGGGGTCTGCAGTGAGGTCCCCGATGCGGACCCCCAGCCTGGAGGGGGCAGCTCCTTGTCTAAAGCCCCACAAGCTGTGTTCCCATTGGCCTGACCCCTCCTGATAAGGAGGCTGCCCAGCATGGTGTCAGCAGTCACTCCCTCACTGAGGACACTGAGGACAGATGTGACTCCAGAGGTGGGGTGATCTGCTCACAGCCACGCAGCCCAAGAGCGGGCCATTCAGCTGTCCTGTGCCCACCAGACAGGGTCACCGGGGGAACACATTCATCCCAAACACCAGCTCCCACCATCAGCATCCTCAATGGCCAGCCGCCCTAAGCCCCCAGCCCACCGGCGAGGAGACCAGTAGGAAGCACCCTGAACCTCCCCTGGGGCCCTTGTGCTGGCCTCCCAGAGAGAGAAGACAGCAGCCTGTGACACTAACCCCCCAGGTGGACAACCCTAAACTACCCATATCCTGTTTGGTTTCCAGATCGCTCAGGTCCCCCTACCAGGTGTGCTACCAGCTTGGCACCGAATCCTGTTGCCAGGGAGCTCCCAGTCAGAAGCCACATTAGAACAGTCAGTGGACGAGGACAGGAGGCTCTGGGGCCTGAGCAAAGCCCCAGCAGGGCGTGACCCAGCCTGGGGAGCTGGGAGGGACAGGCCAAGAGGGACTTCCCGGGGAGGCCAGGGCCAGCAGCCTGGGAGGTGGAGCTGCGCCTGGTAAGAGCACAGGCCCCTGATCCCAGAGCTGCAGGAGGCCCTGGAACAGCCTACCCACCTGCACGACTCCACCACAGTCCAAGAGAGGGGCATTTCAGCTCTCTGTCGCGCAGTCAGTCTCCTACAGAGTCAGGACCTGGCCCTGGTCACAGGCCACCCTTGGTCCTCTCTAGGATGTGACCACTTACTACGGAAAATCAGGTCCCAAAAACCCAATGCCCCAGGAAGAGAAAGTGCCCACCTTTGGTATGGGAGGCACCATCTCCCGGGAACACGTACGACTCCTCCAGCTTGGTGATGTCGAACAGGCAGATGCAGAGTCCCACGTTGTACACAACCTGTGTGTATACATGTTGTTAGGTGCCGTCAAGTCACAGACGAATCATAGCGACCCTATGAACGAAAGGCCTGAGCACTGTTCGTACATAGAGTTTCTGGAGGCAAGCCATTTCGGAAGTGTATGCCACTCCTGCTTCCAGGATTGTTTTAGTCGGGAAGCTTTAGCAAACACTGTCCACCATGGGTAACCATTACCAAGTTTGGAACATCAGTGTCACAGTGTTCAGCGTTGCAGCAACCATGAGTTACCTCTGTACAGCAATGCACAGACCAGTGCTGTACCACCTAGAAGAATGTTTGACAGGAAAACAATTTGAACCTGGCGTGAGGGCCGCAGATTAAAATCACCCACCTTGGACTTGGTAGCATAACTTTCTGTCCACTAGGTCAACTTAGCTCTCTCTATGCCGTCATTGTTAATGTTTGGTGCTGTCAAGTCGTAGACGTGTTTAAATGGGCACACAACCATTCACCCACAGGCAAACCTAGGAGCTTAGCCTGTGTGCATGTGTGTGTTACATGTACAAATGTGTACATACAGGGCCCCAGGAGATTGCCTGTGTGCATGGGTCTGTTATACGTGTAAACGTGTACACACAGGGACCCAGGAGACTTCCTGTGTGCATGTGTGTGTTACACGTACAAACGTGCGCACACACATGGACCCAGGAGCTAGTCTGTGTGCATGCATGTACACACATGGACAAACACGTGCACGTGCACACAGTGACCTACTACCCAGCCCGCGTACATATGTGTGTAAGCGCACAGTGGCCCAGTACATGTATGCATGTGTGTACACATGTGTAAACGTGTACATACAACCACCCACTCAGAGGGACCCAGGAGACGGCCGTGTGCATGCCTGCACACATGTAAAATGTAAATGCACGGTGACCCAGTACATGACCTGTGTGCATGTATAAATATGTGTACATGCACAATGAACTGGTCTATAATGTGTGTGCATACGTGCACATGAGCACGTGGACACACAGCGACTCAGGGTGCCACGTGTATGATGAACACCCACGGTCACGGAACACATGGCCCAGGCACGTGCATGTACACAGGCATACAAACACCTACACATGGGCCTCCACAATGAGCCAGCACACTGTACACCACTTGCCTACATGTGCATGTAAGTGCATGTATGTGCAAAAGCCCAGTGACCAGTACGTAACCTGCCTGCGTGTGCACACACGTGTGTAAACACATCGACATGTGAATACCCACAGTCAACCAACCTCTGTATGAGGTGACACACATACACGGAAATACCCACTGTCACTCCAGACATGTCCTTCACATGAGGAAGTGTTCACCCCTCCGGTGACCTGACTCCCCAGGCAGGCTCCCCCGACCCCCTAATGGCACAGACCAGGTCCCACACTCCCGGCCCTACAGCCACCATATGCCAGAGAGGCTGCTGAGGCGGCCACGGGGAGGGGACGTCAGCAGAATGTCAGGTGGGGAGCACTGGTGGCCTATGGCAAGAAGCTTCACTGCAGTCCCAGAGGTATGCAGTTCGAAACCACCAGATGCTCTGCTGGAGGAGGGACAATCTCCTCCTGTACACACACAAAAAATGTTGTTGCTGTTGTTATGTGCCGTCAAGTTGCCTGCGACTCATAGTGACCCTATGTACAACAGCCCTAAACTCTGCTCTGTCCTGTGCCAATCGCACTGTCTCTGACACTCTAACCCCAATTATCCCAGTCACTGAATCAATCCCTTCCCTTCCTGTGCTGTCCCTCCACCCTCCCAAGCATGATGTCCCTCTCCAAGGACCGGTCTCTCCTTACAACATGTCCAAAGTATGGTAGACGGAGCCTCAGAATCCTTGTATCCAAGGAGCCACCCGGTTTAACCCTCTCCAGGATGAATCTGTTTCCTTGGCAGTCCATGGTACTCTCAATACTCTTCTCCAGCACCACAGCTCAAAGGCATCAATTCTCCTTCTATCCTCCCTAGTCATTGTCCAACTCTCTGATGCATAGCAAGTGATAGCAAAGACCATGGCCTGTATCGGACGCACCTTAGTCTCTACAGACTTTCGCTCGGGAAACAACACCACTAAACTTCAGAGACGCTGGTCACAACAGAAGAAACTACCAGCAGCTGACGTGTTTGGAATCACAGAAACCAAGCAAGCTTCAGATATAAGCTATCAGATCAAGGGCTGGACAATGGGAGATAGATGTGAAGGGAGTGGGTAGAAGTGGATGGGTATCCTGGCGGATGGTGGAGCAGGGAATAAGTTGGTAAAGACATGTGTGCCAAAGGCAGGGACAACACTGATACTAATGGTTAACTCCACAATAAGGGATATAGCTTTCACTTTCTATAAAATGCTGGTCTGTCTGATACTTGTCTAAATCTGAACATTCAGATTAATAAAGACAGACCCTATGTATGTACACAAAAAATAAGAAAATAAAATTAAAAAAAAAAAGGTGACCACAGATCCATCATTCACTGAACCATCTCCATGGGGTCACGTCACTCTTTTCTCTGCGCCTCAGTTTCCACAACTGTTAAAAAGGGAACTGTAGCCTGCGGGCTACTGAGTAAGGAGAGGGAATGCACGGAAGCCCCGGTCCTGTACCCGACACACACGGTAAAAAGGACCAGTCATGACTCATGCTGCTGCTATTGGGGTGAGGCAGAGGGTCCCCAGTTAAACCTACACCTTCCAGTGTCCCAATGCCCACACCAGAACCTCGCAGCCCAGGGAGAGTCAGGATTGCAGCCAATCTGCCTACTTGCAAACACAGACACATGCACACACCCAGGGCTAAGGCTGGCCAAGTTACAAGGGACCATGGCCCTGAGTTGGCAGAGAACAGGGTGAGGACCGGGCATGCCATGTCCCCTCTCCCGCCCTCTGGGCTCCAAACAACTGACCCGTGTCTGGGGTTCTGCCACCAGCACCATTGCTCTGGAAGCAGAGGCCTGGGAGGGCCGCTCCCGGCCACAGATGCTCAGAGACTCAAGGCCATGGCCACACTGCCCTGCCACAAGGTCACAGCCAGCCAGGGTCATGGGACCTCCTCTAAGGGGTCTCCTCTCACATGGCTCAAGTTCAGACTGACTTGTTCATTGTCCCTTGCCAAGGCTTGAAGGACCGGGAGCCCCAAAGGTCTGCAGTCCCTTCTGGAATGTCATACCTCACCCCACCACACTCCTCCTGGGCCCTTCACTTTCTACCTCATAAAGTAAACAACAGTCACTCACCAAGCACCCCCTCAGGTTCTCCCCACCACCCAACAGCCTCCACATCTGTACTCCCCCAGGCTGTGACCTCTCTTAAACCGGACAAGCCACCTTCTTCTGTCTCCTTTCCAGTCACTTTTTTAAAAAATATTTGCTTATTAATTTATTTTAATGGAAGTTTATAGAGATTTTGGATTTCCATTCATTCACTTTTGCACTTTTTTCCCTGCCTGCCCTCCCCCGAGTCCAGTCACTTTCCTATCACTGCTCCAGAGCGGAACCAGGCCCTGCTTGCTAGGCTCCGTCCACCTCGCCACCGTCCCTCCCCCTGCCCCTCTGCCCACGCCCCACCAGCTCCTCCCCACCTTGGTTGCTGCTGTATCCTCTCCTACCACAGGGCCTTTGCACAAGCTCACTCCCTAAAATAAATCTCCCAGCTAGTTCCACCTCACCATTGGTAGCTCAAGGGTCACCTGTCCCCCTCATTCCAGGCGAGGGTCCTTCATCCTGCAGGCTTGTAGACTTGCTCTCAGCTTCATTCACCCCAACAGTCATCACACACTCAACCATGGGCCCTTCATTCCCAACTGCTTCTCCCACCAGCCTACAGGGAGGAACCTTGTCTGTTACTCATTCGATCAGAAGACAAGTATGGGACAACTACTCCCTGCTAGATGCACAGCATGCCAGGTGCGGGGGATACCACAGGGAAGGTAAGAGACGGTGCCCCTGCCTTCGCGGAGTGAAGGGGAAAACCACCACCAGGTAAACAAATACCCAGGAAAACCAGAGTGAAGAGAGCTAAGGAGAGGGTGGTCAGAGCCCGGGTGAGGGGAGAGGCTAGAACCGACAAAGCTGCAGGACGCGGAGGAGCTGACACGAAGGCACTGCAGGCCTGGCACACAGAACACGCACACATATTTTCTCCAGAAATGGGTAAACCCCTGACCATGAGCTCTGCGGAACTAGAGCCCCCCATCTACCCAAAAGTTATGTGGTAGGGCAGCAATTACAGCTCCTGTGATGGAAACGGAGACCCAGAGAAGAGAAACAGCTTTGCCAAGTTTGCAGAGTAACCTGGAAGCTTGGCATCTGGCTATTCTTAGGTGCAACGATGTTTTTCAAAGCCCTCTTTTTCCCACCTTTTGTTCTTTAATCCCCTCTCAAAACTCAAAACTCCCCGTCTCTAGTCGAGTCCGTCTCCTAGTGACCCTCCTCTGGGTTTCTGGGGCCGTGAATCTTAATCACGGAGCTCTGCTGGGGGTGTCCACCGGGGTTCTGCAACTAACCCAAGGCAGTGCCTCCCAGCTTGACTCCAATCTCCCAGCAGCTCCTTGAGAGAAAGACAGGCAATCTCTGTCCATAAACACCCAGCCTCGGAAAAGCCACTGGAGGGCCTTTCTCCCTCAGAGCCACAGGGGGATTCAAACCACTGGAGATCCGCAACCTTTTGAATAGCAGCAATATGCGGTAATATGAACTATGACCCCAGAGCTACTTTTCGCCTCTTCTGATCCCTTGTATTTTTTACAATGTAACACGATAGGTGGCCAACTGGCAACATCATGATGCGCAATGAAAAGACTGATATTGTCAACAATTTAATCTGAAATCGATAATCAATACCCTTGGTAAAAGGAGTTTAGTAGTCAAAATCCTTTGCCCTCTTCCTTTCCAGCCCGGTCCCAGCGCTACAGCCCCCCATAAAGAAGGGTGGTGAGAAGAAAGGCCATTCGGCCATCAGTGAGTTGGTGACCAGAGAGGACACCAGCAACATTCACAAGCACCTCCACAGAGTGGGATTTAAGAACGTGCTCCTCGGGCCCTCAGGGAGATCCGGAAATTTGCCACGAAGGAGATGGGAACACCAGATGTTCGCATTGACACCGGGCTTAACAAAGCCATCTGGGCCAAAGGAAAAAGAAAGGTCCTGTCCTGCATCCCTGTGTGGTTATCCAGAAAACAGAATGAGGATGAAGATTCCCCAAACGGGCGGTACACTCTGGTTACCCATGTACCTGTCACCACTTTCAAAACCCTACAGGCCATCAATGTGGATGAAAATAGGTGATACCAAATAAAGTTATAAAACTGTAAAAAAAAAACAAACCCAAAAGATTTTACATTGGCAAAGTCTGCTGTCAGGAACATCTCCAAAGCAATGAGGAGCAATGATGCCAGTTTAAAGACTAAAGTGTACCTGATTCAGGCCATGGTTTTTTAAAATCTTGCTATACATCAGCAAGCTGGCAAATAAGTATGGATAACTGAAGAATCGACACTTTTGCGTTGTGGTGTTAGAGCAAAACACGGACTATCCCAAGGACTGCCAAGAGAACAAACAGGCAAATCTGGGAGAAAATGCAGCTGGCGCGCTCCTTACAGGCAAGGACGGCGAAGCTTCGTCTCATACCTTGGGCATGTTGTCAGGAGGGGCTAATCCTTGGAACGTGTCCTCACGCTTGGAAAGGTGCAAGGTCAGTGAAAGAGAGGAAGACCCCTAAATGAGATGGATGACACAGTGGCCGCAGCAATGCGCTCCTGTGTGTCAGAGATGATGAAGATGGCTCAGGACAGGACAGAGTGCAGATCTGTTCTTCATCGGGTCACTGTGAGTCGTGTTTGACTCAATGGCACCTAACAACAACAATCCTTTGTAAGGAGCGCAGGTGGCACATGCATTAGGTGAAAAGCCCCCGGACTCACTCCCATGCAGAAAGGTCTGGAAATCTGCTTCTGTCAAGACTATTGGTCGTGGTGGTGTTAGGTGGTCTCAACTCAAAGTGGCCCCGGTATCTGTCCTATCCTTATCATCCCTGACACATTTGAGCCCACTGCTGCAGACACTGTTATCAATCCATCTCATTGAGGGTCTTCCTTGCTTTCACTGCCCCAGTATTTTTAACACCATCAAGTCTCATAAATCTGGGAGCTCTGGTGGCCTAGTGGCAAGGAGCTGCAACTACAATCCCAGAGGCTCACGGTTCGAATCCCACCAGATGCTCTGCTGGGAAAGGAGGGACAATCTCCTCCTGTACCAGTCAGATCTGATTTGACGGTATACTCACACACACACACAAAAAAAAAACACCAAAAACAAAAGTCTCATAAATCCACAATCACCACCCAGGAGAGCAGAAGTTTCAAAACCAAAAGACGTATCACACTGAGAAAATCTGCTGTCAAGGGTCTCTCCAAAGTGCTACAGAGCAGTGATGTCAGTCTAAAGGTGAAGGGGGGTGTGACCCAAGCCAGCTTCCCGTGTATCTGCAAATTGCAGTTAGTAAGGATGGCAGACGAACTGATGCCTTTGAATAGCGGTGTTGGAGAAGAGGACTGACTATCCCAGGTTTGCCACAAAACCAAACCCGTCAGTCTGAGAGGAAGTGTAGCCAGGGAGCTCCTTCAGAGGCGAGGATGGGAAAACTTCACCTCACATGCCATGGGCACGTTGTTACCAGGGGCCAATCACGAGACTGGGGAAGCTGGAGGGTCAGAGGAAGGGAAACCCTCGACAGGATGTGCCTGACAGCGACAATGGGCTTCAGAAAACCGGAGATAGTGGAGATGTGGCAGATTAGGGCAAGGTTCGGATGTTGTTCACAGGGTCGCTATGAGTCAGAGTGGACTCCACTGCGCCTAACAACAAACGCTACTGGTTTATGTTACAAAGTTACTATAAAGTCGTTGGAAGGAGGAGTGGCATCCACTTCCATATTAGCTTGCTGCCGGAAACCCTACGAACCTGGAGAGAGGATGAAAGGCACCCAAGCGTCGAGGACTCTCCTTCATAGGGTGGCTATGAGTCGCCTGCGACTCGACGGCACGTAACAACAACTGTAAAGTCGCTATGATTCAATGGGACCTAACAATATCAGTCGGAATAGACTGGAAGGCAGTAGTCTGGGATTTTTTCAGTTCCTTGTATGGTGAGGATTATCTCCATCCCTTTTTACACGTAAGGAAACTGAGGTCCTAGGACTTGAATCGACTTGCTCAAGACCTAGGTTTTAGCACGACCAACCCAGGGCTGCACCGCGCCATCTATGCCGCTCGCGCCCCAGAGGACCCAGTACCTTGTTGGCCAACTTCTTGTTCAATTCCTCAGCGATGGAGTCGTTGAGCTTCCTCTCAAACTGCCACGGCGGGATTCGCACCGTGTCCACCATCTCCACCAGCACGAACATGCTGGCTTAGGCTGGGAGCTCTGCGAACAGGAAGGAGGGTCACGGATGGCCTGGAGCGCGGAGGAGTCCCTGAAATAGCCGAGAGCCCCCCATAAAGGCGGCGTGAGGCTCCGGGGCCCGAGCCGGCCATGCTCTGCTACCGCCATGGGGAAAACAGGCCGAGCTAAGGGTGCCGAGGCCGCGGCCGGGGTGCGCCCTCGCCGTGTGGTCCTCCCCAAACCCCCGCATTCCCGCTACGCGCGGCTGCCAGCCACGCACCGAGGTTCCACGCGCAACCACCCGATCACCCAGCTTTGGTCCAGAGTCTGAATCCAGTCGCTTCCGGAGAGCGGACCAATAAAAAGTATTTCCCCGCCCCTCTACGCGGGGCGTGGCCGCCTACAGGCTGCGTGCGCTGGGCGGAGCCTGGTGGTGACGGGGCAGGGGCGGGGCCTCCCCTGAGCATGCTGGGAGCCGTCAACCTAAAAACCACGCTCTCTGGTTGCTAGGCGACCTCTGTGCAATCCTGATCCCATCCATCATCTCCTGCTTGGACAGTACCACACCCTTCAAGCTGCTCTAAACCAGCCTTTGCACTGCAACCAGTGACTACTTATTTCTTTTACTTTTCCTTATATTTGAGTGAATATTTACAAACTATATTGGCTTTCCATTCAGTCATTCCTACATCTTAGTTTTATAACATTAAATTAATAACTATAAATAATTAATTGCAATTTCTGATCAATCTCTTGTTGTGTATCCCTTTTCTCTTCACCCAACATATCTATTCATTCACATTTATTCCCCTACTTCTGTTCCCATCCCTGGTAACTATCAAAGAATGATTTTTATCTGTGTGTAAATCTTTCCTTAACTTCTTATAAAAGTTGTTTTACATCATTTTCCATTTTTTCTTATTATAATTTACTGTTTTTTAATTTTATTATTTTGTGTGTGTACCGTCAAATCTGATCTGACTAGTAAAAGAGGAGATTGCCCCTCTGTCTCCAGCAGAGCATCTGGTGGATTTGAACCGTGTACCTCTGGGATTTCAATCTTTCACCAATCCTGATGCCACATTTCTCCTCATAGAGCCCAGCCCCCGGATAATCTGTTCAGCATACAGGTTGAAAAGGTATGGAGACAGGACACATCCCTGGAGTACGCCCTTCTCAATTTTGAACAGTGCAGTGTTTCCTTGCACTTATGCAGATGATACAACCCTGCTTGCTAAAACTGAGGAGGACCTGAAGCGCTTGCTGCAGAGGGTCAAGGACTGCAGCCTCCAATATGGATTGATGCTCAATGTCAAGAAGACAAAGATTCACCACTGGACCAATTGGCAGCATCAGGGTGTATGGTGAAGAGATTGAGATTGTTTACAGCTTTAGTTTGCTTGGCTCCACAGTCAACAATCTTGGCAACAGCAGCCAGGAAATTAAAAGACGTATTGCCATGGGAAAGTTTGCTGTTAGGGACCTCTCCAAAGTACTGAAGAGCAATGGTGTCTCTCTGGAGACTGAGGTGTGTCTGATACAGGCCATGGTCTTTGCAATCACTTGTTATGCATCAGAGAGTTGGGCAATGACTAGGGACGATAGAAGGAGAACTGATGCCTTTAAGCTGTGGTACTGGAGAAGAGTATTGAGGGTACCATGGACTGCTAAGAAAACAAACAGATTCATCTTGGAGAGAGTTAAACCAGGCTGCTCCTTGTAGGCAAGGAATCTGAGGCTCCGTCTAACATACTTCGGACATGTAAGGAGGGACTGGTCCTTGGAGAGGGACATCATGCTTGGGAGGGTGGAGGGACAGAGCAGAAGGGGAAGACCCTCTACGAGGTGGATTGATTCAGTGACTGAGGTAATTGGGACGGGTGTATTGGAGACAGTGTGATTGGCACAGGACAGAGCAGACTTTAGGGCTATGAGTCACAAGCGACTCGACAGCACATAACAACAACAGCAACCTCTGGGATTGCAGTGTACCTTCTTGCCACTAGGCCATCAGAGCTCTCTATCATTGTCCTTTTGTGACTGGTTATGCCTCTTAGCATAATTTCCTCTAGATGCATCCATACTGTGAACTATTTCACCAATTTTTTTATCATTCCTTGTTGTTTTTATGTTCTGTCAAGTCACCTGCAACCCATAACGACTCTATGTAGAACAACTCTGAAGCCTACCCTGTCTTGAGCCGGTCTCATTAATTCCAACACACCAACCCCCATTGCCCCAGTTACTGTATCAATCCATCTCATTCAAGTTCTTTCTCTCCTGCACTGTCCCTCCACCCTTCCGAGCTTGATGTCCTTCCCCAAGGACAGGTCCCTCCTGGCCACATGCCCAAAGTATGTGGGGCATAGTTTCCAAATCCTAGGCTCCAAGGAGTAACTTGGTTTCACCCTCTCCAAGACAGACCTGCTTGTTTTCTTGGTGGTCCATGACTCTCCTTCAGCACCCCAACTCTAAGTCATCAATTCTTCTTCTCTCATCCTTAGTCATTGTCCAGCTTTCTGATGCATAGCAAGTAATTGGGACGACCACAGCCTGGATTAGGTGCACCTTCCTGACATCGTTGCTTTTCAGTACTCTGGATGCATAATCCTGCGTTGTATGAATGCACCCTAGTTTCTTTAGCCATCCTCTGCCGATGGATACTTGGGTAGTTTCTGTCTTTGTAATTGTAAATAATGCTGCAGTGAGCATGTGTGTATGTACATATCTGTCCTGAAGCTCTTATTTCTTTGGGGTATATGTCTAGTAGTGGGGTTGCTCTTCAAGAGAAAATGGACAATCTCCTTCTGTGTGGAGGGTCAGCTATCAGTTATTTCTGACTTGACAGAAAACAATAACAACAGAGGGATTAGTGGATTAAATAGTATTTCTGTTCACTACTTTATAGAGTCTTAGTGGTAAGGAGTTTCACTCTCAACCCAAAGGTACACAGTTCTAATCCACCAGCTGCTCTGAGGGAGAAAGATGGGAAATTTCTTCCAGTATGATTTACTGCCTCTGAAAACCCACTGGAGGGCCAGCTATGAGTCAGTTCTGACTCCACAATACACAACTTCCTAAGTAGACCTGCTTTCCATAACGACTGGACCTTTTTACATTCCCAAGAGCAATGTATAAGAGAGTTCCAACCTCTCCACACCCTCACTAGCTTTTGTTGTTTTGCTGTCTTGTTGAGTTTTGCAAATAATTGCTGAAAACCAGTGATCCTTTTAGATGCAAACATAATACACTTGAAGTCCTTCAGTTGTCTAAGCACAAACAGAATTGAGTAGAGAGAACTCTGTGGGCTCTTCCTGGGATGATAATGTTCTATATCTTGTTTTAGGGAGTAGTTGCACAGCTGTAAAGAGGTCTGCATGGCATAGTGGTTAAATAGGGTCCAGCTGCTAACAAAAAGACTGGTGATTTGAATGCACCAGCTGCTCAACAGGAGAAAGATGTGAGAATCTCTTTCCTTAAGATCAGAAGCCCTTTGGGCTAATTCTAGGCTGTCCTATGGGGTCACTATGAGTTGGAATTGACTTGGTAGCAGTAAGTCTGGTTCGATTTTGTACACAGTTGTCAGAACTAAACAAACTGAAGGTGGGAGTCACCACTCTGCGTCTTTTAAACCTTTGACGGTGGCACTAATTTCTGTAATCTCTCCAATAGTGCTTTTGGCTCACTGCTTTTCTCAGTAAGGGAACTCTGGGGGCCCAGTTGGTAGGGAGTTGCACTGCCAACCCAAACCCATCAGCTGCTCTGAGGGAGAGAGATGGGCAATCTCCTCCCATGCAATTACAGCCTCTGAAAACTCGTTAGAGGGTCAGCTGGGAGGCGGTCCTGGCTCGATGGAGATGCATGAGAGCATTTGCTAGGTGAAAGCAGTTCTCAGGGCTTCCAATTGTCTTTCCCTCCCGTAATAGCCTTGCCCTGGAGAAGGTGCAGCCACAGTGCTCCTTGAAGGTAAGGATGATGAAACTCCATCACATGCTTTGGACGTGTTAGAAGGAGCCCATCCTTGGAGAGGTGGAGGGTCACTGAAAAAGAGGAAGACCCTCAATGAGATGGATTGATACAGGGGTGGGAGCGATGGACGCAAGTGTGTCAGGGAGGGTGAGGCTGGTGCAGCATAGAGTGGGGTTCAGGTCTTCAGAGTCACTGAATTGTGCTGACTAGTCAACACCTAACAATAACAACCACATGTAAGGGATCCAGTGTCAGATTCTAATAGTTGTAGCATGTGTATATTCCAATTATGCATTCTAGACTTGGGGAAATCACTGTTAAGATTGGTTTGGGGACCCACTGGGCCCACTGTGACATGGTCCTGAGCTAAAAGGCCTCCTCCTCCACTCTTTTTTTTTTATTTTTTATTATTTTGTGTGCGTGTACCGTCAAATCAGATCTGACTGGTACAGGAGGATATTGCGCCTCCTTCTCCGGCAGAGCATCTGGTGGATTCGAACCGTGTTTCCCTGGGATTGCGGTGCAGCTTCTTGCCACTAGGCCACCAGAGCTCCCCTTCCTCCTCCACTCTTGACTAGTGGACCACAGCAGCATTTTGGGTCCCCTGGAATCAAGGTCAGCTCAGAACCAGGGTCAAATAATCCTTGAAAAGTCCAATTATTTCCTTCTCCCCACTGAACAGTCATTCTCTTAAAAGGCTAGCTGTCTCTTTAAGGCCTATGGATAGGATCAATTTTGGGCAGTGCAGTGAGGTACTTCTTCAAGGAGACCCAGCTTCCCCTTCTTTAATGAGTATGCATTTCATTGTAGGCAAATTCATTCTCATTTTCAAAGCAATAATAAATGGAGGACTAAAAACAACCTCAGTAGATTCGCATTTGAAATAGAGTCTTGCTGGACCCCTCTAGCCCTGTCTCTTATCTCTCCCCTGCATTCCTGTCTAATTCATCTTCATAATAACAGCTCACAGGGGCTGAGAAAATTCAATAATATGACCAAGACTGGCTGGGGCTGCTAGTAGCAGAAGTCAGCTTCAGTCCAAAGCACCACACTGTCTCTAAAAGTTGAGAACACACAAGGTGG